TTAGATTAAATGGAAAAAAAGCTGACTGTGGAAAGAGTAAACTAACAGAGAAGAAAATGTAACAAAAATTTTGCATTCAGGAGACAAAAGCAAAGCAAAGTGATTCTCATGTTTAAATGCCTTAATATTGCATTCAGTGATTACTCAATTCATAACTACAATTCTTTGTATAGTCCTTTATTAATTTTGAAATAAACTTGCTTTATAGCCCATCACAATTTGTTGGATTTTTTGAGGGGAACAAAATAAGAACCACTTTTCATTTATTCTAAATAAAGTAACTTTTAAAAAGTATTTTTTTAAATTTATGTATATACAATTTCCATTGAAATTTAGAAACTAAACTAAACTGAGCGGCGCGACAGCCCATGGAGCGCCAAGGCCTACTGTGCCCATCTCAGTTTTCTTGACCTTGGGCTCTGGGGTGCAGGAGTAGATGTTCCGGTCAGGTGTTCAGCCGAACGCGGAACCCCAGTGTTTAGTTTCCAAGCATGCTTGGTACTCATTTATCGACCCACTGAAGGGATGAAAGGCTTAGTCAACCTTGCCCTGCCCGAGGATCGAACCAGGGACCTGTGGCACGACAGCGCGAAACCACCCGGCGTCCTGTTATGATTTGAAAAATTTTTGATTATAGGTCATTTTGGTGGATGAGAGTGAGATTACAGTCTCTAAAAAGGACAAAATATCATTCTTCTTGGAAAGAAGAAACCGATCTCTCTTTCTTTCTAAAATCCTTTTTTTAATGTAGAGCAACTTGCTGGCATGTCGTGTATGGGCACAAGAGACCTCTACCTAAGCAGCATCGGGATTGCCTGACTAGTAAGCATGAATGCATTAAAACATTTTTTCTTCCTTTGTTTATTTCTATAAAATTTATTCCTTAATTGCCTTACTTTTTGTCAGAAATAAATTAACTTACCTCTCTTCCTATATAATTGCACTTATCCTTAAAAATAATATTAAAGGAAGTCACTCTGAAAAAGTTGAAATATAATTAAAATAAGAAAAGGAATTTCACCAAATTCAATGATTTTTCTTTATTTTTAGATTTAAGATTTTAAAAATATATTGACAAACATATGTAATCTTTTCTCTATCTCGGGTGTTTAGTGAAGTTATTTATAAAATGATTTATTTGCTGTATCTTAGCTTGGCTTAGTTGAGTATCTTAAAAGTATTTGTACGTGTATCACCTATTAAATAATATTTGAAGTTAGTTAGTAAAAAGGCAACTATAGATGAAGAAAAACTGGCATCAACTTAAACAATTCGCATTCAAAATTCAAACTTTCTTGTCCGTTTAGTCCATTAAGGCAAAATCTTAAATCTTATTCTAGATCAACATGATGCAGTTTAATATTTAGGAATGATTTTCAATTTATTTTTAATAAGACTCGTGAAGACTCGTAAAAAGACTAAAAGAACATGAAGACTTTTCGCAGAAATAGTGTGTTCTAAAAAAATCATTTATATCTTTAATCCACAAACATCATTATATAAAACAAATTTACTGAGACAGCTATTCTGAAAAATAATTTTATTATTTCAATTAAACATTAAAATCATTTTGGTGGACCTATAATTAATCTGCTTATATTGTAGTTAAAAAGTTTAAAAGTATTATTGACTCTCGACTTTTGTAGTCAACATTAGTCACTTATCAAAGTTACATAAATATAGATTTCAATTTCCTCCAATTTCTTAAAAAAAATCTCATCTGAAAATTTCCAAATGAAACTTGCTATGAAACTTTTATATAACTTCATTTTTCTCAACTTGAACAGCATACAACTTTTACAGAGCTGCTCCGTAAACGGCATCCAGAATTTCAAGGTTTAAATCAGGCTGCCAATAATACGTGCTCTGCAGCTAGGAGGAAGTGGAGACTAGTAACTGGAGGGCCTTCCCCTGGGAGTAGCTCTAAATATACAACAAAAAGAAAAAAGACAAGTAAATTATTCTCCTTTGATTCAATGAAATCTTTTCGCCAAAAAAATTACTGATAATACTAGTTTGCGTGATCTTTGGTGTTTAAAAACATTATTTTAAATCATTCTCTCAGGCAAGTAAACATATAAACTTTAAGTTGGTTTTATTTCGATTAGGCATGAAAAACACAAAAAATTGATGTCCTACGTTCTTTTATTAAAAGATTGTTGATTCTTGATCACATTAAATAAAAGGTGGAAAATGACTCGTTGTTTTTAAAAACCATACATGATAGACAATTATTTTCGGAATCAGCATTGAAAATTGGTTTCAGTACAATTTCTTTTGCGAAATTGGACTAAAAGTTTAAACAAGCTGGCCAGTGTAATTGAATTTATTCAAAATTTGTTGAGAAAAAAATTTAAGTATCAATATAACAATTCATAATGAAAAATGGTCGGTTGAATTATTGGACAATTAAAAATTTCTATAAGCGTGTTATTTCTACAGCAGTTCTTATATGTATCTTATAGAAAAATTATCTTTTTTAGTGATATGTTTAAACAGTCAAAATAAAGAATTGAAATATGGATGGATGATCGGGTAAAGCTAAGGGTGGTGGCGCTAGTGGTAAAATTGCTCTTTCAAGACTTCCGGGTTACTGCTTCCGATATATTTTTACGCCGCAGATTGAAAAAACGCGCCATCATATTATTGCATCATATCTTTTGCAGTATTTCACATGTACCGAGTTCTTTCTTTCAGCCTTTAAACTTCAGCATTATCATATTAATATTATAATCATTAGAATATTTTCTAATTAGGCTAACTTAAAAAGATATTTTTAAAGATATTTTTGGCGACATTTTATTCAAATGTAGCCAAATAAGGGATAAAATATAAAACATGGCAAACCTTAAGAATTATTCATAATGAGATATTAACTTTCCAGAAATTTTTTTGGCCTTACGATCTCTGAGAATCAATACATTTCTGAAAGCTCTTATGAATGGTACAATTATGTTAGATTTGAACCCAAATTACAGTAACAAAACTGCATGGAATATTAGGCTTGTTCACCCATCGCCTCGTAGTCATAACATAAGCGGAGGGATACACCGGAAATTTTCTAAATTTCTTCCGGTTTAGGGACGCTTGTTATTGTTTACATTAGACCACCCATCCATACTGGCAGGAGAGTTTTGCAGGTCATTATTATTATTTTTATTCATCTGCTGTTACTAAAAAAGCCATTTATTTAATTAAAATTGAATAGAAATAATAATAAAATGTGATTTATGCAACGAAATAAGCTCTAAAATATTATTTTAATTTTTAAAATTTGTCATTATCAATGTAAATATGACTCTCTCTAATTCAAATTTTTTATTTATAGGTTCCAATGCTCCAAATAACGTGACCACAGCATTTCAACTTGCAGAAAAAACAGAGTAATTGTCTAAAATTTTGATTTCTTGAACGAAAAATTAGTTTTTTTTTTGTTAATAAAAGTTTTTACATGTAAGCTGGCTAAATTATTTAAATTTGCTGTTATTTCGCTTTTGAAAAAAATTAGCACCTTTAGCATCTATCCTATATAAATAAGTTCCCACATTTTTTTCTAACAAATGTATCCTCTTTTTACGATAATTTAATTGAACTTATTAAAATTACAGAGACACTATATATTTGAAATGTTCTTTTAAGGTTTACGAGTCAGCATACTTAAGTTCATTCAACTCTACATGTTAATTCAAGATTAATAAATTTTATGGACCATTTAATTACAAATTAGCACAAGGTTCACAAACTATAGCTTAAAGGCGTTAAGTAAAAATTCCTATTCTGAATGGTGTGAAAAAGAATGAATTCTAATTGGTTGTATTTCGAAATTAAAGGAAGATAGATTCTTTTCATTGCATTTTACTTTTCTTCACACAATACATGGAAATCAGTCGAAAATTCTTTCGAAAGAAAGACTCTTCTGTATTCCGCCTATGTGCTTAGAAAATAGTTTCTTAGCATTAGGATTTTAGCAGCGAAAATCAAGAAAGACCGTAGAAAGTTAATAAGTAATTACCACCTAATGTGTAACATTAAAAACTCCAGAGTGATAAATACCTCTACAAGTGAAAAGATATATATTTTAGGTTAAAAATTAGCAGTCTAAGATGAAACATCTCATTATATTTAATTACCTGCATTAGCATAAAAAATATATCCTGAAGTGAAAAATGGCATATTTTAGTTTGGTTAAAAAAATTTCCTTCACAAGCATAAAAATCTATACTTGAGGTTGAAAATAATACACTTCACGTTAGTAAAAAATCACCTTTCTAACTATCAAAAATTTGCACCTGAGGTAGATTTAAAATACCTTATGTGTAAAATGACGCGTCTCAGGTTGAAAAATATATACCTCTACAAGCATAAAATTAGATACCTGAGGTTGAAAAATAATTACATGAGGTCGAACAAAATACACCGGAGGTTGATTTATAATAACCTGAAGTGCAAAATGACACACCATAGGTTGAAAAATATATATAACTCTACAAGCATGAAATTAGATACCTGAGGTTGAAAAATAATTACCTGAGGTCGAACAAAATACACCTGAGATTGATTTATAATAACCTGAAGTGTAAAATGACACACCTTAGTTTGTTGAATAAATACTTCCACAAAGTGTAAAAAAAATATACTTCAGGATGATAAGTAATAACCTAAGGTTGAAAATAAAATACTTTAAAGTAGTAAATATCTACCTCTCCACATATGTAAAATTAAACACCTCAGGTTGAAACATATAGACTTCTGGAGGTATATTTAAAGTATATTTGAGGTTGATTTTGAGATATTCATTTGCACCCTTTTCAACCTTAACGACGTATTTAAATAACAATCTCCTTTATACCTTCAAAATATACCTCGTTTATACCTCGATTTTTTCACAAGGGTACTTTATGTTAGTGTCCATCTTTGTGAGGGGGGCCCAATCCAAAATAAGAAAAGCACCCCTAAAACAAGACAGACCCACCTCCAGCTTGAACCTGACCTTGCACAAAGTGGGGAGGAAATGCTTTATCTGGTCTTCGGTGCAATCGATGACGTGCGTCATTTGAATAAAGGCAAAAACGTGATTCGTCAGGCCATATTATATTCTGCTGGTCAGCAACTGTCCACGGTGACTTCTGTTCGGTGACTTCTAGCCCACTGAAGTCGCGCAGCTTTATGCGCCTGTGTGAGTAATGGCCACTTACGAGTTGTTCGACTACAAATGTTCATTGCACGCCGCTCCCGTCACAATGTTCTCTAACTAACAGGTGAGTATGGATCTTCATTCACTAACTGAAATAATTCCTGTCGAATTTGGAAGCGATTTTGATTGGCAAGTCATGAAACACGTCTCATGTCCCTTTCGTGCAAGATCTTTTCGCAATCACAATTCTGACGACGTCTTTTATGACCACGTGTATTACAACACTGCTTGTGAACACGTTGAAAAGTCCGCCTCGAAACACCAACAAATCCACCCTTATGAAAAAATCGAGGTATAAATGAAGTATAAACGAGGAATATTTTAAAGGTATAAAGGAGATTGTTATTTAAATACGTCGTTACGGTTGAAAAGGGTGCAAATGAATACCTCAAAATCAACCTCAAATATACTTTAAATATACCTCCAGATATGTTTCAACCAGAGGTGTTTAATTTCACATCTGTGGAGAGGTAAATATTTACTACTTTAAAGTGTTTCATTTTCAACCTTAGGTTATTACTTATCATCCTGAAGTATATTTTTTTACACTTTGTGGAAGTATTTATTCAACAACCTAAGTTGTGTCATTTTACTCTTCAGGTTATTATAAATCAACCTCAGGTGTATTTTGTTTGACTTCAGGTAATTATTTTTCAACCTCAGGTATCTAATTTTATGCTTGTAGAGGTATATATTTTTCATCCTATGGTGTGTCATTTTACACTTAAGGATATTATAAATCAACTTCAGGTGTATTTTGTTCTACCTCAGGTAATTATTTTTCAACCACAGGTATCTAATTTTATGCTTGTAGAGGTATATAATTTTAAACCTATGGTGTGTCATTTTACATTTTTGGTTATTATAAATCAACCTCAGGTGTATTTTGTTCTACCTCAGGTAATTATTTTTCAACCTCAGGTATATAATTTTATGCTTGTAGAGGTATATATTTTTCAACCTAAGGTCTGCCATTTTACACTTCTGGTTGTTATAAATCAACTTGAAGTGTATTTTCAACACTTGGAAAGGTTATTTTTTATTAACGCCATGTTCTACCTTAAGTTATTAATTCGTAACCTCAAGTTTATATTTTTGTATTTTTAGAACTATTAATTTGTCAACCAAAGATGCGACATTTTGCTCTTCAGGCTTATGTTGCTCAACCTAAATTTTTTTTAACACTTACGAAGGTGAGGTGTTATACGGACAACCTAGTTTATTTATTTTTAGACTCACTATATAAAAAATATAATATAAAGAAAGATATTATATATATTATATGAAGAATAATGTATATCATTACATTTTTTTCACTAGTAGAGATCATTTATCAACCTAAAGTTTTTAATATTAAACCATCGGCAGCAATTGCTTCTTTTGTTTAGCTATAAAAGAAATTTTCAAATGTTTAATTCTTCTATAATTTTAATAGATTTTCAGAATTACACTTATCCTTATTGATTAGAATAATTAAATTATTGATTAGAAATCATCTTAAAATAACACTTATCCAAATTCTACAGTTAGTAAAAATTATTTATGGGAACTCATGCTCGTATTTTTAGTAGATAGTTGTCTAAGGTGCTTGAATTTTTAAAGCTACAAAACTACGAATTTAAATAATTAGCCAGCTGAAATTCAAATTACTTTTATTTAGAACTAAAATTTCATTTTTTTACAAACCAACAAAATTATTTTAAATACTGTGTTCCCGTCTACATGTTGAAACTTGTAATTATTGGAACCTAAAAGAAAAAAAATATGAATTAGTAAGAAAGTTATATTTAAAATAATAGTGGCAGGTTTTGAAATATTAAAATATTAGAAATTGTTTTTTTTATGATCTAAATTAACAGGATGAAATTAATTTTCTTTTTCAGATAAATAGTATTACTCTTCTGCCATTTGAATTCAATTCTCGTAGCTAAAAAGCATGACAGGTATCACAGCAACCAAATAAAATACACTGAAGACAGTACTGCCATTAGCAACATTTACAGAAATTCAAATACATAATTCTAATCTTATTTTGCAATTTTAGCACTTTTTATTTTTCGATACATCTGGTAACATTAACTTGTAAGTTTGATAATTAGATTTTCGTTCTTTGTTTTTTTACAAATCTTTAAACTCCATAAACCAAGTCTATATTTCTAAACTTTTTGTCAGACTTCATGAAACTAATAACTTTTTTTAAATTTTTGACGCTGATTCTGAAAAAGACTTACGTTATTGTTAATCACATCAGAGTTTCTTAAAAAATAGCTATTTTAATATTTTTTAATCAATGTAATCAAGAATCAACAATCGTTTAATAAATTAAAAATGTAATGTTATGTACCAATTTTTATTCTTTTTTTAGACTCAATCGAATACAACAAATTACAAGCTGATAAGGAGCATTTACTTTTAAATTGTGAGTAATTTTTATGTGAAGAAAATGTCCAAGAGAGAATGATTTGTAATAATACTTTTAAAATAAGTTGAGTATAATATCTCCTATATAACTTATAATACCGAGCAGAATAAAACTAATAGTTAGTTGTTACAATCACTCGTTTAAATATAAATACACATCCCATAGGATGAAATTCCAAAAAATGCATATTACTTTCAACAATAAATGTTTTTCCGAAATGTTTTTCCGAATGTTTTTCCGAAGTAGTGAAACATAAACAGCTGCATAAAAATGCTCGTAACCTTGAAACAAACTATCATATAAACTTGAAATCGGATTTAATTTAATTCTGCTCAATATTCTAATGAGTAATAATAATCTACTTAGTAAATAATTAACGTGGGTAAATTGCGAAAAAATAACATGTAGTGAAAATAGCAGTTTTGTGATCAAACATGAAGAAGTGAGCAAGTACAATTACTAGTTTTCAATTATGAAATATCTAGCAAACTATTGTTATCAACAATTACATAAATTCTGCAGTTTATTAGGAGAGATTACTTTTCCTTTTAGGTATAAATTCAGATCTATTTCCTAGGGGAAGGCTGAGCAGTAGCTTGCTAGTCTCTTCGTCTGCGCCGCTGCGCATGTGCTATTTACAGCCTAGGTCATCTCAGCAATATCAAGGAACTGATATATATATATATATANAGTATCCTCCAATTCGCTGATCTATCAGATATATTTGTCCTATATATATATATTTGTATATATATAAACAATATAAACTTTGCAGCAGGTATCCAAGCGATAATCATACAGCTATAGTACAATTTCAAAGCAAAATTGCTATTTAAAAAATGTTTCAATTTTCAATGATTTATTTATAAGAGAAATCATGAACATTTTACTCAATTAATCAGATTGTAAACTGCTGCGTTAAAACATATACATTTAAGCAAAATAAAAAGAATAGTTCTATTTGAATAAATTACAAACAATAAAATATACTTTGCATAACCTGCTGTAATGATTTACCAGTAACGTTACCCTAAGCAGCGACGAGAAATATTTCGATTGTTCTCTCTTATTGCTAAGCCTACAACGATAGCCTCTAAGAATATCCTCCATCTTAAATTATTTAAGATCAGAACGTGTCTTTAAAACAAAAATAATGAAATTTAAGTTTGAAAATTGAAGCATATTTGATTAAAAGTGATAAAACTAAATTAATAAATGTCAAGCACACTTACAGAATTTCGAATAGGCTTTCGATTGTCAACACACACGCCATTTACCGGCTCGCATGGAACTCTGGGAAGGTAGCTAGTTAATATGAAGTGTACTTTAAACAACCTTAAAACAAGCCTAGGTATAAATAAAATGACTTCATACACCTCAATAAATACTTCACTCTCTTTAGTTGAAATAAGGTATATTTTTTTGTACCTCGTAAATACCCCACTCTCGTTAGTTGAAATAAGGTTGATTTTTTTATACCTCATAAATATCTCTTTTGTAAGAAAAACAACCTCGTATACCTTAAAAATCACCTTATCAGTCTGGTTGATTTGAAGTGAGTTTAAAACAACCTCAAAATAAGCTTAGCTATAAATAAAATGACTTCATATACCTCAATAAATACCTCACTCTCTCTAGTTGAAATAAGGTAAAAAATTTTATACATCAAAAACACCTATTTTTATTGCTGTTTTCTCAGCAACCTAAAATATACCTAAAATATAACTCAAATCAACCTTGATACCTCAAAAATACCTCAAATCAACCTTAAATGTACCTTAAATTTTCGTAAGGGCAGCAACTTTATTCACCGTATGACCATGGGCACAACCAAACAGAATTGCCCCTTTTTGCCACTCTGTCACATTTTTACACTTACCCATATTTACACACAATTTCCTCTTAAAACAAAAATATCTCATTGATAGCTAATTGCCTTTCATCAAGTTGCGGCAGTGCGCACGCAGATGAGCACATCACTTGACCACTGCGTAATCTTACGAAACTTGACGATTCATCGGTGCTTGCGCAAATAGGGTGAGTAATTTTTTGTTCGTAGAGCTTTTATACATACGATAATTAAAAAATATATATTATTTCATTATTACTGTAAAAAAATTATTTCATTATTTAAATATTGTATAATGATATTAAACAGTTATTGAAATAGAAGTTATTAAAAATAGAAATAGAAGATAGAAAAGAAACTTTATAAATAATTCTAAATTTTGAAAATTTAGAAGATTCAGAAAGTTTTTATATTTAGAAATTTGAAACAAATAAAAATTGAGTGCAAGGATAAACAGTATTTAATATTATTTAGTGATTATATTGTTTTAATTGATTACTTATAAGAGTAATTTTTTTAAATATCTTTGCATGAATTCCTTCTTTTAAATTCGAATAAAACATTTTTTCTGAGAATTTCAATTTGTTTTATTATGTATATACACACGATAAAATGGTAATGGTAGAAATAGAAGAATAATTTAAAAAAATATAACTTTTAAAGTTTCGAAAAATTATAAAAGCGATAAAATAGAGAGCACTAAAAAGAAAATAAATATCGAAATTAATACACTTGTAATCATCGATTAACTTTTAGATAAAAAATTTTAAATGAGTAATTTTTATTTGATCTTCGATGTAGGAGGAGGAGTTAGAAAGAAATATATATCAAGAGGCATTTTTGAAGAAATGCTTCTGAATAATAAATAACTACTAAATTAATAAGTTAATAATTAATTAATAATTTCGATAATTAATAATTAATTAATAATTTCGATAATTAATAATTAATTAATAATACATTAATAACTTTGAATAAAAAAGTTTGGAAAACTAAAAAAGTGATAACATAGAAAGCCAAAAAAATATATATATAAATAAAAAAATTTAAATCATCGATTAAGTTTTAGATAATAAATTTCAAAATGAGTGATTTTTATTTAGGTCTTTGAGGGAGGAGGGGTAGAAAGAAAAATAGATCAACAGGCATTCTTGAAGGAATGTTTCTGAATAATAAATTATGAGTGAATTGGTATTGGAATAATGCCAGCAAGAACAACTAAAAGAATCGATTTTCTTTCTGATCAATAATGTTTATTGATAAATGCTTTGTTTTCACCACGTCGCATCGGTGACATTGATCGCATCCAGGATTAAATTTTTTGATGGAAAATAAATTAATTTAGTAATGTTTAAAAAAATAATTCATCACATTATTTTAAATAGAAGCACTTAATTTAAAAATATTTTTGCCATAAAACGTCACAAATATTAGAAAAAAATTTTTTTTTTAATAACGACATCACCTATAACATTTTAATATCTAAAGACATTATAATTATTAAATTTGGTTTATCAATTAGTTCATCATATTTCAAAAATATGCATTTAAAATATTACCAAATTTTTTTTCAACTGAAATTTATTCTTTTTTCACATGAATTTTAATAAATATTATTTAGTAATTAATTAGTCTGAATTAACATGGAGAAGAAAATTCCGGTATGATTACTAAATTGTATGGTAATGACATTTCTCGGAGAAAAAAAACAGCAAAATTTTGCATTAAAAATCACAATATATGGTATTTATACCATTTATTCGGTAATTTTTCAGTTCTAAAGAAACTTAATTTTCTGGCTTTCAAAATTATAGTTATTACCACACACTTAGTAAAAAATACGAAACTGAAATGTAAATTTAACTGAATATGATTTTTGTGCCATTCTCTGAGGTAACATGTAAAAATTATCGAATTTTACCACATTTGCCAAATTTTATCACACATTAAAAACCATATTTTATTGTTAATTTTACCAAAATCACTACCAAAGCTCGTTAACTTAAACTAGCGCATTCACGACCTGAAAATGTATTACCATTTGACGATTACCAAAGATAATTAAGTGTAAAAAATGGCTTTTTATATTAATTTATTATTTTTCATTATTTAATTTATTAATGGTCAAACAAGGTACACAAATTTTTTCATAAATTTAAACTAAGTAATTTTAAATGACGTAATACACAAACTTCGAGGAATCTATTGAGTATAACTTTTTAAATTTATTATTTGGAAACTATTTGCATAGTTCCACAAAATAAAGTTTGAATTTTTTTCTTTAAAATTATTTAGCTAAAAATTGAGAAAAAAAGTTTGCACCTTACAATCAACAAAAATTTTTGATCGTCATTAAATAAAACAATAAAAAGATTAAATAGTTTTTTTTTAAAAATTATATTTTGTATGAATTTTGCATAAATAGATTTTTTAATTAACAGTCATGCATCTTTAAAATAGCAGAGTTTTCAACTGTGGGATTTTTTTTTTTTTGATTTGCTGAAATAGTTTGCTGACTTGACGAAGTGCCTGTAGAGTAAAATTTGTATATGAAGCAGAATTTTTCGACCACTCTCCCGCCTAAAGTATAAGGAATATATTTTCCACAAAGTGGCCACATATCCCGAATCATATTTTGATGGTCAAGAATTCAAATCTGTTGAAAAACAAGTATGTTTACTCATTAAAATACATTTTTGTGTCATGTTTCGGAACTTAAAATAACATTTACTCTAAGTAATAAGCAAGTTTAAAGTTTGCCTCTTGTACTATCAAGATTTCATCTTAGATTAAAAATCATCATGTGTTCCATATTTTATTTTGCGCACTGTACTTAACTGTTGCTCAAATATCACCTGCTTAGTAACTTCTCAAAGCCAGTTCAATAATAATGTTATCAAAATACACTGCTTGACTTCATAAAAAATTATAAGAAATTTAAAATGAATAAAATATTTTTCATGTGATTTGAAAATCACTTAAAAGAAAAATAGTGTCCGTAACTGACTGAAGGTTTTCAAAAATTTATTACATGAAAACAGTTATTGTTAAAATATTTCTTCATTCATCATTTGTTCCATATTTTATTTTGCGCACTGTACTTAACTGTTGCTCAGATATTACCTGCTCAGTAAAGAGAATAAAATATTTTTCAAGTGATTTGAAAATCACTTAAAAGAAAAATAGTGTCCTTAATTGGCTGAAGGCTTTCAAAAATTTATAACATGAAAATAGTCATTTTTTACCCAGAGTTAGGGATTTTAATTGAAAAAGTTTTCGACAGCAGCGCTGCAGACTGTAAACTTGTTAATCAAAGAAATAAATTTTAAAAAATATTTAAGAAAAATAATTGAAATTAATAATATAATTAATAATTCCAAATGTCTACCATCAGCTGCAATCACCAGTATGTGAAAGTGCATAATTTTTTCTCTCTCAGAGTTTCTGTTTTTAGTTCAAATTTTTTTCAACAGGTGATGCTGCATTAAATTTGTAATCAAAACATATATATCAAGTGATATGCTGTGTTATTTATTTATTATTCAGAAGTTTACGACCCACAGCGCTTTCTGTCGAAAATTTTTTGTTCTAATTACTAGAACTCTGATAGGAAAAACTTATGTCTTGGCACACGAACTTTCTGCGAGATTTTTGTTTTTAAACCTTAAATGTTTTTTATTTTAAATTTTTGAAAACATCCAGTCAAACTAAGGACACGATCTGGAATGTAGATGCTGACTAGCATTGATGATAGAAAATATTTTACTAAATATCACCTGATAACCACTAATGGTCATAAATTTTTAGTGATAATCAGTCTTTCCAAAAATGAATTCTTTTTACCATACTTGAAATAAGCACCTATACATTATTACCATTTCATTAAAAAAGTTTGATTTGAAATACAAGGTTTTTCGTAAAAACTGCCGATATTTTTACGATCTTTATCTAATGTACAAACTTTAAAATGAGAATTATAAAAAATAGAAAAAAAGGATTTTTATTGTTAAGGAATCAGAAACTTTCAAAAACACCATTCACATTGGTACATGAATGTTTTATGAGTTAGTTGAAAGAAATCAAAGAGGCGTGTAAAACCTTTTTTAGAAACATCGCTAAAATATATATCTGGAAAATAGGGGTTAGGGATTTATCACAGGAATTTCAATTAGTTCTAATAAATCAAAGAGACGGGTAGTAAAACTTTCTCGAATCACATTTGCTGTGTTCTGAGATTAGGTTCAAAGCTTAATTGCCTTCGTTGGCGAACGAAAGTATGGAAAGAAAAATAATATAAAATGTTTCGTACATTTCGAGAATAAGTTTTATTAGTTGAAAAGTATTTATTGTAATAGTTCTAAGAAGATTACTCAATTACATAATTTTCCATTTAAAATTACACTATTAATTTATATACTAATTTTTTTATTTTTTATTTTTTGTGAAAGTAAAATATGCTACTTAGGTTCATTAATGCAAATACTAATAACCTTACAATTGAAAAAAAAAAAAGTTAAAAAAAAAAAAAAAAAAAAAAAAAAAAAAAAAAAAAAAATTGTCAATAATAAAATTTTTTTTGACGGATAATAAAAACTAAAAAGTTTTAATGAACATCTGTTTCTCCTTTTGAACAAGTTTCATAATTCGTTACATGGTGCTTTTATTCGTAAGTTTCATAGATATGAATAAATAAGCAAAAATTTTGATAAGGAACTTCCAATTAAAGTGATGATAGAGTTGCTGGGGCAGAATTTTAAACATTGTTAATCCCTCCGAAATAATGCTTAATTAGAAATGGAACCAACAGACAAAATACATAAAGCTCATTTAAGGCCTCTTTTTCTTAAGATCTGTGAACTAACCACGCTTAGGAAAAAAAGTAGGGTCAAAACGATCAGAATATGGTACAATTTACCGCGCTTCTGGCTCTATGGAAACACCAAAAAGCTCGGTAATTTTTAAAGAAGTGGTTAGATAATAATTTTGGTTAAATTAACCAGTGTTACAATATGTGATAAAATTCGGTAAATGAGGTAAAATTTGATAATTTTATCATAATATCTTAGAGCATGGCATAAAAACCATTTATTCAGTTAAATTTACTTTTCAGTTTAGTGTTTTTTACTAAATGTGTGGTAATAAGAACTATAATTTTGAAAACCAGAATTTCCGGTTAACCGCTGCCATATAAATGGTAAAATTACCAAATGAATGGTTTAAATACCATTTTGGTTTTAATAACTGGATTATTTTATATCTTATTTAATAACTAGATTATAATATATTCTAATTACATACTAGATTTTAGTTTTATATACTTGTCATATTTTGATTTTAAGAACTATGTTTTTTTTTTTAGCCAGAAATGTCATTACCCATACAGTTCGGTAATTTTACCAGAATTCCACAGCAACCCTACAAGTCACAGCCTCTACACCTCCCTAAAGAGCATTCCTTAAAAGATGGGAACAATGTTACAGCAGCTGTTAATTAACAATGTTAATGTTAACAGCAGCTAATTTTGAATTCTACTGATATTTATGTTATATGCATTAAAAATTCATCATGCAATATACTTTTCAATTGAAACAAAATTAGCACTGTTATAACTTTTTTTTCATTAATATTTGATTATCTTGAACAATAAATTTATAAGAAAAACTATGGTACGTCATATTTTTTTGCGCAATCCTATATTTTACATTTAAGAGAAATGGCATTTTGTGACATAAATATTTCACAAAAATTAAAGAAAATACTTAAATGTGAAAAAAATTAGGATGGATGAATAGGTTTAAAATACCTAATTCAATCTATTTTCCTTTCAAATAATTGTGAGTTCCTTTTATTTGGGGTCGCATTAAAATATTAAATTGCATTTTCTGAAAGACTTTCTCACAATTTTTCTTAAAATTCTGTGTGCTTTCTGTATGCGGATTGTATACTGAATGAATATTGTAAGCGGAGTGGTACTTATCACCGCCAGTTGTTAAAGCTATTATTATTGCCAATTTAAACTTTGTACAGTAATTTTTATTTGTAAACATCTATAAATTTTTAAAAAAATATTTTATTTGGTATTGCATTCGCTCAACTAACAGCACGGATTTCCGGCTTTTTCGGTTTGAAAAAAATATTTTGTAAGGTATTGATATAAAACATTTACAATAATTTATGTTAATTTCAGACAGAATTATCATTTTTTATCTAAGTTTTATTGTGAATTTAATTTTAAACCTAATTATTGCCAGAACTCAAAGTTCAGATCTGTGTTATGCTTTAACCCAGTGGTCCCCAACCTTTTTTTACCCAAGAGCAAATACCAGAATATCGGTCGAATGGCGGGCACCATTTATTTTTTCAAGATAAATTTATAGTTGGTAGACATAGGTAATAATACACACTACATATAGTGCCCAAAAAATTGAATTTCAAAAATTAATTTAACATATGAATACAATTAATAATTTTGTGTAAAATAAATGATTACTAAATTGCTTTCAAAACATACGAAGTATAAAAATTATTTATAAAATACAGTGGCATGTGGTGCACTGGCGTAGCGAGGGGGGAGCAAGGGGGGGCATCATCCCCCGGGCGCTACTCACAAAGGGGCGCCAAATGGTCAGCAAAACAAAAAAAATTGTTGGATAATTTTTATTTTTATTATAATTTATTTCTGCAAAAAATATTTTAAATTTAGTGCCAGTGAAATATAATAAATGTTAATTCGTAAATAAAAAGGAACACTAATCAAACTGTAATAATATATTCATAATAGAAATGACACGTCTTTTCTAATGGCTGGCTGACTCGACCTGTATCTGTCAGCACTTCCTTATGGCATCTACGCTGTGTGGTTACATATATTATCTCCAAATATTTGCACTGTACAAAAATCGTTTGTATGTTTGTACAGTGTATAATACAGATTTCAATGGAATAGAACTCTTTATCGAAGAATGTGACTGTAAAATGTTACTCCTTTGTAGAAAAGAAATTGAACTTAAAACTCCATTAGAATTTCTTACTTTTATAATCCCGTATGGAGAAGATGTTTTTCCAAACCTGAGAGTGGCACTTCAAATACTCCTGACTATCTCAGTATCAATTGCTAACTGCGAATGGTCATTCAGCAAATTAAAATTAATTTTGACATATCTACGATCAACGGTGGGACAAGATCACCTAAGTGACCTGGCATTTTTAAGTGTGGAAAGAGAAAAATTTGAAATGATCAACTTTGATGATATTATTGATAAATTTGCTTCATCAAAAGCGGAAAATTTACACATAGTAATTAGTTTTATAATTGTATTATAATCATATTATTAAATATATGTATCTCCTTAGAGATAATAAATATTTACTTTTTTATTGTTTTAAAACTGCGTGTTTTTAAAATATTTCTTTATAAATATGTAAAATAAATAATAGGTATCTTATGAACTAATTCTAGATGATCATATACATTTCAAAGTCTAGTCTTGTTTTCTCAACTACATTTTTTGTCTCAAATTTAATGCCTAACTTGAGCCTATGACTTTATTAATTCTACTTTATTTATTTATTACTTTGCGAGTATATTTTACTTATAATATTAGATGGATTTCGAATGGGGGGGCGCTAAAAAGGTATTGTGCCCCGGGCGCGAGTTAAGCTCGCTACGGCACTGTGTTTGGCATGGCATTTCGCTGGCCATCGCTGCATATTTGGGAGAATATGATGCTCTTTTAAAGAATGGAATTTAGTCCTTCAAATATATTCCAGAATTTCTCATGTGCTTTAATAGTTTTGAGGATAATGTCATCCAATGGAGATCCAAAATTTCTATCTCCAATTCTTCTCGCTTTACTTGAAGAAATTCTGAAATGTATGTTGCTATTACGGTTACGTTTATTTGGTTGGTAAAAGGATTAACAAAAAAGTTATCAAAGACTCGATGATATTAAATTGCTGAAAGCGCTTTTTAAATTGATCCTTAAGAAATTGGAGGTTGATGACAAATGTTAATAAGTCAATTTCACTGTCACCTATCAATTTTTTCATGTTTGGAAAATGCACAAGAGACTTCATTTTCAAATGTGATATCCACAAAACTAGCTTAGCTCTGAACGAGTTTATAGCCTCTATCATTTTTGCTTTACGTTTGTCCTTTCCCTGCAGCTCCAAGTTTAAATAATTTAGTTTTTTCCTTATGTCCGTTATGAAAGACAAATCTGCTAGCCAAAGAGGATCTCTTTGTTCTAAAAATGTTTGATTTTTAGTTGCAAGATAATTTCTTATTTCTCCAATTAAATGTAGAAATCTATCATGTACTTTACCTTTACTGAGCCAGAATACTTCAGTATGTATTTGCATAGCATTTATTAAAAAAATGGAAAACTGAAATATTTAATCGTTGAGCGCAAGCAGCGGGAGCACCTTATTCGTTCGGCGGGTGCCATGGTGCCGGCGGTCATAGGGTTGGGGACCCCTGCTTTAACCTTTTGAGAACTGCTTTAATAAATGATTCAGTAGTTTAAGTACAGTTTCTTGTCCGCAATAAGCAATATTGATTCATCCCTATATCTTCTCTCATTTTTTTAACCACTCATTGGCCTTGTTTTAACTGTCTTGAGCGTTATTTAACTTATAAATATATCCTTATAATTTACTGTATTTATCTCCTTAGTTTTTAAAGAAAACTTGGAAAAATTTTAATACTGAAATTAAAATTAAAATGTTTCCCACTTTCAATGTTTCGAAATGAAAAGTATACTTTATCGATTCAAATGGTGACGTAGCTGTTTTTAAAAAAAGCTAACGTATTTACGATGTTTAGTAAAATTTAATAAAACTATATAAACCATTCTACAATGAAATGTCATAGAAGTTAGAAAAACTTTGGAAAATTTCCGCATTTCCATAGATTTTTTCTCCCATAACAGAAAGCAGACTGATTTTATATCCTAAAAATCAGGTTCCTCTGGGATATTTTTAAATAGTTCAAGGTTGTGTTCCAAGTGGTCCCTGAAAAATCTTTGCGATTTGGTGGCAGAATAAAACATAAGCCAAATGAAAATAATGTTTGCAAAATAAATCCCCTCTCTCTGATCTGTTTACAACTACCGACAATAGAAATTACAAAAATAATAATGCTTTTGAAATTACAGAAGAAAGAAAAAGATATTTATTTCTTATAAAATACTCGACTCGAATTAACTATACTCTGTGGAATGAATATATTGGTGGGCTCTACCAGACAACGGAATGTCATGTACAACTTATTTCATATTATTGGATACAGTAAATCATTTCCTTGTAAAAAGTCACAATTTCTAAGCTCTTTTAAAACGTGAGACATTTTGTGCTATTTGGCTCTATGATATGCTGTAGCGAGAGCCCTGATTCAAGCCCCCCCCCCCAAAAAAAAAGAAAGTATTATTTTCAAAACTTTCAGGCCTACTCTTTCCCATATTTCTTTCTTTTTTTTTTAAGAATTTATTTACTTATTTAGAGCCATGGTGGCTCAAGGGATGGAGTGCTCGCCTCCCAATGAGGTGAAGTGCTTTCGCATACCGCTGATGGCTGGTTGATTCGAGTTCCGCACCGAGCTTGCACCAACCAAACTGCTGACGCAAAATATCCTCAGAGGTAGACGGATTATGGGTTAGAGTCCCCGCACCGTCAGGCTAACCGTTGGAGGTCTTCGTGGTTTTCCTCTTCATGTAACTCAAACGCGATTGGATTCATCAAAAAGTTCTCTCTCAATTCTTGATCCCTTGTCTTCTGGTTTGGGAATCTGAAAAATTAGGTTCAACGACGGATAAAACAAAATTATTAAAACAGAGCCGTGGTATGAGGTGCTGATGGTTTCACATCCCAGTGATGGCTGCTCGATACGAATTCCGCTTGCACCGACCCCACTGCTGACTAAAATATCCCAGTGGTAGACAGATTATGGGTCCCCTTGCCGTCAGGCTGACTGTTAGAGGTTTTCGTGGTTTTCCTCTCTCTGTAACACAAACGCGGTTTGGTTTCATCAAAAAGTCCTTAACCAAGGCAAATTTCTCCCAATTCTTGGTCCAGGAGTTCCCTTCTCTTCTGGATATGGTTCAAAATTACAAGGATACAGAGTTAAGCATTGGAAACTGAAAATTCGGTCTGCTGTTCAACGACTGTTTTAAAATATGAAATGAAATATGCATGTATTTAAAAAGAAAATAGAAAGAACTAAGGGGAAGCTGATATAAACCAAACGATCCGAGTAAATCTTTGGACTTGCAACACCACGTTTATTACGAAATTTTTCCTCTGAATTTCAAGTCACCCAAAAAATATAATAATTTTTTTAATCATGAAATATTTTTAGGAATCAAAGAATGGGTTTGAGCAGAAAAATTAGAGGGAAAATTAACGAACCTCAAAACTACAGAAAAGCAGTATTTTCTCCAGGTAAAATCCTTTGTTATTAAGGCCATTAATGTCATTTTTTATCCACTATAATGTTTTACTCTAATCGAAAATCATTGGCCCAAAAATATTTTAAAAAATTAATACAGTTTTTTAAAATGTTTTTTAAATAATTTAAAATATTTATATGAATTTTTCTATTTTAATAATTTTATTAGTATTAATGTTTGTAGCTCATTTTCAAAAAATTAAACTGTTAAATATAAATAATTCGAAATCATGTTAAACGACTTAATTTTACTCAGGAAGTCCGAAATTCGAATTAAATCCATACCATATTTGAATAACTATTTAAGAATGTTATAAATTTAATAAAAACCACAATGTGAAAAACGAATTTATAGAAAAAGAGTAAATTGCATTATTTTGTCTTTATGCCTGAGAGTCATTATTTTTCATTTTTTTGTGATAATAGTTTTTTGTGAGTATAGTTTAATTGATTTGCTTAAAAATATTTTTCCTTCAATTTCTCTTATTTTTTATTTACTTCGTATTTTAGAAATATTTGTTACGAGGGAAAGAAATGCTTACTTGGAGATATTGATTAACATATTAAAGAATCAATAGAACTGGGTGTCACATGCGTGTTCCTTGAGATTGAAAGAAAATATAGTTCTCTTTGAAGTCTGTTGTAAAGAACTCCAAAAAAAAGAGTTATTTTTTGCCTCTCTTAAACTCCGTCCTAAGATATGAGATGAAGTTACGGGAAGAAAAATAACATTCATGGTAAAAGTAAACATTGAGTTACTAAACAGTCAAGAACACCCTTTGAGAACTCCTTTTTCCAAAGAAAAATTCATTTGAAAAGATTGAACAGATCGATGAGAAAAAAGTCTTTACAGGATTGATTTCAGAAATTGGTTTGTTATAAACTGAAAAATCTCTTGCCGGGATATTTTTGGCTGTCATATTAAAAAACAGATTTAATTGTAGAAAAAAAGAGATTTTTTAATAAACTAAGTTGAAACAAACAAGAGAAAGATTAAAATACTATTGAGAAGATCACTCTTTGATAATTCTCTCTTTAATTCATCTTAAAATATTTCACTGATGGATAGGAAACACGATTGATTTCCTAAATTTGATTACTATAAAGTAAAAGATTAGCAGGACTTTTAGAGGTGGTATATTGAGAAATACATTTAATTACGTTACAAGAATTTCACATAAGATTCTTTCATTTGAGCATTGTGGAAAAATTCATGCACAACATAAACATGATAGTAGCAATTTAACAAGTAAGAAAGATTTACAACTTGGTTTTCAGAACGATAATCTTTTTATGAGGAAAGCAAAAAATATGTAGGTTTTCTTACCCCTTACAGTGAGTTCTAACTATTATGGGTCCCTTCCTTATTGTCAACATTCTAAATGTAAGAGGTACTACGTAAGAAACCCTGAAAAAAAGAAAATAATTTATAAAGTATATGATACATAAATTTTGGTATTACACTTTATAAGCGGTATTTCGTTAAGTATACTTTAAAAAAATATTAAAAATGATATAAATAAAGTCTGCTCAAATTTTTATTTAATTTTTTTGGTTGATCCGAAAAGTATGGAAATGATCAAGTTTTTAAAGAAAATAAGATACTTCCAGAAAATAGAGCAAAAAATAAAATAAAATAAAAAATAGAGAAAAACACATGTATGAGTCTTTTTCAATAATGTGCCGATTCATTGTAGCCCTTAATGTATGCAATGATTAAATAGATCATTCAAACGACGGGGGAAAAACATAATTTAAGAAGTTTCTTTCCTGCTTTTTTTCTTTTTATTTTTCTTCTTTTTTTTTTTTTTGATCTGTAGTCGGGAAATTCTTAAGTAATGAAAGATTTTTTTCTTCTTAAATGTCTACGTGCATGAAAAGAATTGTGTAGCCAAAATGTGAAATACGGGTATGATTCTTTTTCAATTTTGTAACATATTTTGTAGTTTCTATTTTAATCACTACTTTTTATTTGCTACAATTTCAATCAATCTATATCAATAATATTAACTACCAAAATAAGAATGCTAACACGTTATCAAAAATTATTATTTTTGTAATGAATTTCAGCTATTTTTTGCAAATCTTTTATACGTCCATATAAATCGGTACCCTGAAAGACGCATAAGTGATACTTCACAGTAAGAAAAAAGTATGTTTTTAAATTTTGGATCAGGCATTTATTTCTTGAGATATCTTAATTTTAACAAATTTGAACCTCATTTTCATTTTGCGGTAAATGCGAAATACTAAACCAGTACGTTAAATTAAAGTCTTTTTTCTGAAGAATCTAAATCTACAATAACAAATAGCATTTAAAAAATTCGAAGGTGACCCCATCTCATCCCATGGGGGTAAATTTGGTAACATTGAAGGAGAGGAAATGTGTATTTTCAGATGCATCTTTCTCGAGATGCACCGGTGTCAAAACGTTAAGCGTAATTTTACATATGTGTCCAGTGGAAAAGACTTTTAGACATCTGTTTCCATACTTTTTGGTATAGTTTTAGGATAATAAGGTAAAATTGAAAATTATAAAAAATATAAAATTAAATATTATTATTCTTCGTTTTAATCCTTTGTGATAAAATTGATTAAAAACCACATATAGTAAAATTTTATTTAAAATCTAAACACGTTCCGATATCTCATAGGTGCATCATAATGGAGAAATGTCAGGGATGGTAAAACAGAGATTATATCATTTGACAGAATTTAATAACTAAGATAAATCAACAGTGTAAAGTACAAAAATTTATATATTCACAATAAAAGTTAAAAAATTATTGATTTTCAAATTTTTGAACGTAGGAAATAGTTGTCATTAACAAAGGAGTTTCTATTTTTAATGATGCGGTAAATACCTAATATCATTCATAAATATATTTCATGCTTTGTCCTGGATATTTGGAAGAATTTCCACAAATTAAAAACAAATGTTTATTGCTAATCATTTACTTATGTGCCATATTTTTCAGATATTTGGAAATCATTACATTTATTTTTTAATTTTTTAAACTTTTACTGTTAAATTAATGTTGTTACTCTTCCAATTTTTTTAACTGTATATTTATCTCAGTTATTGTGACGTAATACTTGTCGAAATGCATCATCTCTGCTATTTGTCCTACAAATGGAAATATACTTAAGTGCCATCGAAACACGTTCGAGTTTTAATAAAACTGTTCTGTGTATTTGTAATTTTTAAGAATTGTTTTTAGTCCATTTCTATTCTGTATGTAGAGTGCGCAACAAAAAAATTAAAACTTTTTTAAGTTAAAAACTTTCTAAAATAAAAATTAAAAAAAGGAAACTTTTTATACTAATTTTGTAATAAATGTTTTGAGCAGTATCTATACATTTATGTTAGACATTTATTCCCACATTAAACACTAAGATAAGCGAAATATTATATTCTTACTGCTGGTCATTATATTTTACTTAAAAATATTTGCATGTAACTTTGTAACTCTGTAATACTTGAGTATAAACTTTCATTCATTCAAACAGTGTGTAAGAGTAAACCAGCGATTCTCAATTTGCGGGTAAAATGTATTTTCTCATAGAATTATCTTGGGACAACGGAATTTCATAATTGTGTGCAAAAATTTGCTTCAAAAGTTCTCGAGATACTAGTGGAAAAAATATTTCGCAGTGAACTCAAATATTGGAGGTTATGAATTTAATCCTAGAAACAGGATTGATAACGCACAAGGAGAAAACAAAAGTTACCGTCAAAAAAAGCCATAATTCTGCTAATAAAACAAAGTATGCTGTGTCTCTAACATTCATTTGGTAATTTTTCCGTTCGTATGATAATAGCTTACCAGAAATTTTGATTTTCAAAATTATAGTTATTATTACCACATATTTAATAAAAAGGCAAAATTGTAAGTAACAAGTAAAATGTAACCGAATACAATTAAATGTAACCGAATAGTAAATGGTTTTTATGCCATTCTCTAAGCTATCATGGTAAAATTATCAAATTTTACTACAGATGCTACCAAACAACATAGCTCATTGTTAATTTAGCCAAAGGTCATACCAAAGCATTTTCGCAAAAATTACCATCTTTTCGGTGTTCTCTAAGAGTCGGAAACGCGGTAAGCTTTACCACATTCAGGTAGTTTTGATCATTCTTTTTTTCTTGTCAGTGCAAATAGTAAGAATAACATCTAAGGGTTCAAACATATACCCCTAAATCGGGGCTCGAAAAACCGCCCATCTGCCCGTCCTCGGCTGTCAAAAATTCCCCGCGGACAACAAATTTCTCGAATCCAGCGTCCGCGCGGACGGCCATTTTCCCGTTAATGTTCGTGATACATTTTCAATTTTTGTTATCTTACAAGAGTCTAGC